ATCCATCCATCCATCCATCCATCCATCCATCCATCCATCTATCCATCTATCCATCTATCTATCTATCTATCTATCTAGCCAGCTATCATTCTAAAACAGGTGCTGTGCAGCTTGGATCTGAAAGGCTTTCTGTTCTGTCCGAATTAAACTGTGGACCCATCAAGTGCCTGATGAGGACGAACCCCCCCCCCCACCCCCCCCACCAACCGGTCCTTGGCTGCCCCCCCCCCCCCCCCCCCCCCTCACCTGGGTATGGCACCCGGCCCTTTGTGACCAGCTCCGTCAGCAGGATGCCGAAGGACCACACGTCGGACTTGATGGTGAACTTCCCGTACAGCGCGGCCTCCGGGGCGGTCCACTTGATGGGGAACTTGGCACCTGAGGCAGAAGAGGGCCAAAAATCACCCCCCCGTTTTTGGGGGGGGGGGGGGCACAGGCCCCCGGGGAGACGCTGCCCGCACACCAGCCATACCGATGGCTGTCCTTGTCATGGGTGTCTTGTCACGATTCCCGTTTTGTTTTGTAGTCCTTCCTGTCTGGTCTCTGTGTTGCTTTCCCATTTGCTTTCTCTTGATTTCCTGACTCCTCCCTAATCACCTCCACCCGTGTCTCATTGTTTCCTTCCCTGTCTTGTGCATTTATTCCCCAGTCTGTCTCTTGTTCGTTGCGTGTTCGTACTTGTCTTTTTGTCAGTCGTCCAAGCATTTCCTAGTCTCGTTTTGCCTCGAATTCCTGACCTTTGTCTGCCTGTTCTTGACCACCGTTTTTGCCTGCCGTTTTTGTACCTTAGCCTGATCAATTGCCTTCCCGTGTACCGACCATTTTTGTATTAAACGCTGTGTTATTTCTGTGTGTGTGGTGGAGTCTGAACAAAGTGGTCATGTGATGTCCTGGTGAGGCGGGTAAAGAACTGCTGGACTGGAACCCTTTCTGAGGGTTTCCTCCTGATCTAATGCGGAGCCCCACCTTGCCGAGCCGTGTACTCGTTGTCCTCGATCAGCCTGGCCAGGCCGAAGTCAGCGATCTTGCAGACCAGGTTGTCTGCCACCAGGATGTTGGCGGAGCGCAGGTCCCGGTGGATGTAGTTCATCCTCTCGATGTAGGCCATGCCCGCTGCCACCTGGAGACAGCACAGGGAAACACTCACTGAGGCAAATCTGCTCTCCGGGCCTCAGCTTCACAAAGACAAGGGCTGGGTGTGGACACAACACTGGAGAAGGGTTAAAACCTTTCATCCTGGCGCACCTCATTCACGTCCCCCGGGTTCAAACCTCCCTGCTGAGCTATAAAAGAGTTCAAAAGTTTCCAGTTTCACTGTAATAATCTAAATTAAGTTTTCAAAAGGAAAACGGAATCAACCAACACCGTTACTATGATGGACACACCCATACAGATGGAACAAAGGGGTCCGATTTGAAGAACGACCGCAGAAAAACTAAGCTAATTGATAAAAACCATTGCTGTTTCTGCCAGCAGTGTACATAAAAACAGCCTTTGTGGTGCTGGTTCTGGTCAGCTCTTCACCCTGAGCCCAGCCCGGCCCCAGTAGACCAGGGCTGGGCCTGCTGGCAGGGAGCTCCGAACAGGGAGAGCCCAACTGGGCCTACCTGTGCTGCCATGTCCACCAGGTTGGGCAGCTTCAGCCCCCGGCCCTCTCCGTCCTTCAAGAAGTCCAGGAGGCTTCCTGCGGGGAGACAGGAGTCTGGTGTTAGTCTGGATGTGAGGAACAGCCGGAAGCTACCGTGGTCCAGTTTTTACAGAGCAGAGGAGCCTGTGTGAGGAGGTCTGAAGGGGTTACCTTCAGGGCCTCCCTTTTCTGCTCGAAAAAAAAGGAGCCTGGACCAAACAAAGATGAACAAAAACCAAAAGGGGCCTTGTTCAAGGACACTTCACCAAATGGAGTCCCAGGGATCCAACAGCTAACATTCCATCAGAAGACAACTGCTAAACCGACTACAGAAAACACCCACTGATCGCCCTAGTTAAGTGGTTATCAATTTTTTCTTTTACCTTCTCTGTCCTTAAACAGAAGCTGCGTTACAGAGTCTCCACTAGTAACAGAGAGCCGTGACTAATGCTCAGTGGTTTGTGGTGGAGTGAGCTTTGCTGTCCTCCGTGTTGGTTCCTAACTTCTGCTGAGCGTGTTTCCCTGTTTGGTGCCTGTACTCCTGGGACCAGCCTGCCAGTTCGGGGGGGGCCAGCCTACCTTTGCCCATGTACTCGGTGACGATGTAGATGGGCTCCTCGGACACCACGGCGTACAGCTGCACCAGCTTGTCGTGACGCAGCTTCTTCATGATCTGAGCCTCCTCCAGGAAGGACTCGGGGGACATGGTGCCGGGCTTCAGCGTCTTGACCGCCACCTTGGTGGTGCCGTTCCAGGTCCCTGGAGCGGGCAGACACAGGCCGGGTCAGCACGGGAGCAAAGGCCATTTCAAAGATGGCCGGCCCTCCTTTGAAATGACCCTGAACCTCACGGGGGGGTGTGTGTGTGTGTGTGCATGGGTTTAGGGTTCTTCTTCCTACTCTCTGTGCAGAGAGTGGAGTGAAGAAAAACTAACTACAAGGCTTACAGAACATTTAGTGTATCATATATGCATATATAGCCTTGCTTCCTAAGATTAGAACTTATTCAACTATTTCTGAACGAAATAGTTGAATAAGTCGACTGAGTGGATTTTGGTATTACAATGAATTGGATTATAACTGACTTGAATTGGAAATTGGTAAGAACATTCAGTGGAATAGAAAACATGCATATATGATGATGTGTTATTAGTGAGAGGGACATGCAGGGAGGTTAGTGGTTACTAAGGAGGGGGCCCTGGATCAGCAGCTAGCTCTCAGGTTGCTTGTGTTTGGAATGTTTTCGTTTTGGATCTGGTTGGACTTCCGTGTCACCTCCTTAAGGCAATGAGAAGCCCGGAGCCCAAAAAAACACCCAAACAAAACGTGTGAAGAACAATTTGAAGATCTGACCATGATTTCAGATGATGAATAAAAATAGTCTTTAGCATTTTGCCAGTCTTTCTGTGTGTGTTTTTTATTTTCTACATATCATCCATAAATGCCTTCAAAAACTAGCTAAAAACTAGCTAAACCTCACTGGCGTTTCTGTCGGTTACAGTGAAACGTTCTCTCCTTTGGAAGTACGACGTCACACCTGCCGCTGAGCTTCTGAGCCCTCTGCTCGCTAACACATGTGTAGGTTGTGTATTCTGCAGAAAAAACATTATATCTTGCTCTCTACTTCCAGGGAAGTTCCTGGGAACAGCTAAAGTCGGTACGTCGAAAAGATTCTCTTACCATAAAACACATCTGCAAAACATCCCGTCCCCAGCTTTACTTCCAACTCAAGTGTGTCTCTGCTGATCTCCCAGGCATCATGACTCAAGCCCACAGTGTCAGGGATGTAGTTCACACACACGCCCGTTAAATTAAAGCACAAACCATCCGCACTCTCTACAGGGGGAGGGAAGGGAAGGCACACAGGGTTAAATGTTAGGGAGAGGATCATGCACAGGCTCACGTGGATGGATCTCTGTCAGGGAAGCAGAGTCTCCTGACACAGTGCCACTATTTCACAGCGTCGAGGAGGCTGAAAGTCAGATATCTTAGCGTTGGCTGCAGCTTTAAATAGGTAGGGCAGCGTTTTGCGTCTCCGTTTAGATCCCATGCAGAACATTTCTTGCATTTCTCTGCCTCCGCCTGCCACCTCCATCCACGTGAGCTCAGCCTCCAGAGGCGGCTGGATCCGTACCCATCCAGACCTCCCCAAACTGCCCGTTCCCCAGACGCTTGATCAGCTGGAGCGACTCCCGGGGGATCTCCCACACATCTTTGGTTTTGACAGACAGGTCGGCGAGACGCGGCATCCCTTTGTGGCAGGGAACCACCAAGCGGCAGCAGAGACCCGCGGCGCGCTCTGCAAAGGCCACGCGGCCACACACAAAAAACAGCAGCACACGGACACGCGCGGAGAGTTAGCACAGAGAGAGGGGACGCCCCAGAACCAGACAGAGAACCGGACAGAAAGCAGAATCCCAGGGTCCGCCCTGCCAGTCCTGCAGGTCCTACACATTTGGGTATGAAAATGAAAGTCTACCGGAAAGCAGCCGGGAATCAGAACCAGAAGAGTAAAACAGCAACAAATCAGCAAGCATCACTAAAGGTAACAGAGACATGAAGTATCCGGTCAGACTCATTTGGTCCTGCATTGGATTTGGATGACAGCAGTAAGTTATGTCATCACTGACACATCTGTGCAAAATACGTCTGTAGTCAGTTTAAAAATCAAGAAGGGACACTGGTCATTAACTGTTGATGAATATTTTTGTCTGAGCGCCCCCCTTTGGACCAACAGGGCTGGATGTGACAGAATACTGCTCGTATTAAGACACTGGACATCTCTTTTCTATTCTATCTTTACTGTGAAGAAAGCTCTTAGGTTTGACTGAGATTGATCAAACTAGTGGATTAGAGTCCATAGCCAGTTGGCCCTGAAACACCCCCCCCCCCCCCCCCCCCCCCCCCCCCGCAAGCTCCGCTGATAATGGACCCTGATGGTGTTTGCGCAGAGCGGTAAAGACCCGATAAAGGCTCCATCCCTCAGCCGGCAGCTGGGCTGCCTGGTGTGGCCTCAGCTCCGCTCAGAAATCGATCCACTCTGCTGGCTGCCATAAAAGCTGCCGATATCTGGACAGGACTGGAATCAGAGCCTGCTCGTTTGAGCGGCCATCCAAAACCTTGTCGGAGATGGGGCTCTTTAAGTTTTGCCGAAGAGGAATAGATTGAAAATGTAGTTTGTTCAGAGTCCATCGCACAGATAATGTCTTTCCTGACCCGGACAGAATGTGGCGCCACATCTTCGCTACTAGGAGAGAAAAGGAAAGCAGGAAGCCGCACAAGCACGAGCCCTGAGAGAAAAGAAGCTCATTTGTGGCTGTGTGGCCTGGCCTCCACTGCTCATCTAAAGCGGAGGTAAACGCAGAGGGATGTTTAGTCATGTGTCATAAACAGAAAAACCACACTGTTGATTTAAAAAAGAGAAAAAAAGATCAATACATCAATGAGCCAACTGGAGCATGTCAGAGGAAGGCATGATAAAGAAGAAATGAGAGCACATCCCTGTTACTAACACACAGAGCTTCTAGTAACAACAAACATGAGAAACATGAGGTACATTGAATTCTGTGACAGTCACTATTTGAAATGTCCGTATCTGGATGAGCTCGGACGACTTCCTTCTCTGTCTGAAAAGACAAAACAAGGCTATCTGCTTCATGAAATGTAAGTCAATTTAAAGGGGAGAAAAACAGATAGAGGGCATGGAACGGATGTGGTGTTTATGTTCCATTTGTGGTGTTCTACATGTAATAAGGTGGGAGGTGTGGGGGCAAAAGGCTCAATAAAGCCTCAAAAACAGCCTAAAAAAGGAGATCTGTGCAGCATGAGAGCCACTTTAAAAATGTTTTGCAGTGGTCTATAAACTTCTGCCTGTCCAACAGGGATGGGGAGACGTTTTATTTCACATTAGTCTACTGTGGTTTATCTATGTGGGCTCTCCTTTTGCAATCATGTGTCTAATGACGCAAATCAAAGCCAAAGACTGAGCCCCAAGTAAACGCATCTAAAAATATTACAGTGTTAATGCAGTTTGGTGCTGTCAATGTCTAAACTACTGAAAATACGAAATGAAACATCTCTAAAATGGTCCTGATGCAGAAGGAATAGGTTCTGTTCTTACATTTTAAAATCATCTACATATCCCAGTTGTATAGCTTTAGGAGGCTATTTTCAAGCCTAAAACAGAGTGGAATATTGCTCATGGTGGGAATTGTTGGGTTTCTGTAATTATCTTCAGTGTAGGGTCTGACCTGCTCTGTTTGTAAAGCGCTGTGAGACAACTGTTGTTGTGATGTGGCGCTATAGAAATAAAATTGAATTGAATTGAATTGAATTGAATATGCTGGTCTTCCTGGTTGTACCGCGGGGCGGGCCTCTTCTTACCTGAGTAGTGCTGGACCAGCTGCTGCAGCGTGTCAAACTGAGCCCTGGTGGTGATGTAATAGCCGCCGCTGTCCAGCTTGCGGATCTTATAGTGCTTGACGTGATCGCCTTTCACGTCGTCCCAGTCCCGTATGGACAAGGAGAAGGCCCCTGGGGGGACACAGATCAGGGGTCAGCGCCTTCCAGCTCTCTTAGCTACAGAGACAGGTGTGTGTGTAAACCTGGCCTACACAGACACACACACAGACCGAACCACAGGTTCAGCTAGCTAGCCTGTGGATTCTGTACCCTTTGTGGTTTCACTCTCTCGGATGAGATAGGTTCCTCGGGGGTTTCCGGTGGACAGCAGCTGCCTCTCTGCATCCTTACGACCCAGTTTACCGAAGTACCAGCTGGAACAGACAGAGAGCAGGACACGTTCACTTCAGCTTTTCTTCAACTCATTTGTGAAGACCAGCACTTAAACTAGGGGGTTCTACCTATGGGAGGGAAGGAAAAACTCTACTTAACCACTCCTAATCACTATGACTGATAAAAGTATGTTCAGCTAGTAATCCCAAGAAGAAAAAAAAAGGTAACATTTCTAACTCACATGCAGAGACTGCGCTGTGATATTTACTGAGCATATTCATGCAGCTCTCCTTCACTGCCACCCTCAGGACAGAATGAGCTCTGCAGTATTCTGTCAAACATGTATTCATAAAGAGCAAAAGAGCAGGGGGTCAAACTCCGGTCCTTTTTGGGCCACTGTCCTGCAGGTTTTAGACATTTTCTTGCTTCTGGACACCTGATTCTGTTTAAATTGTCTCTCCTCTGGACAGAGTTGAGCTTTGCACCGGCCTGCTAATGGCACTTTGATGTGAATCAGGTGTGTTGAAACAGGGACAGTGGCCCAAAGAGGAGTGGAGCTCCACACCTGGGATATAGAGGAAGGTAACATGTGCCAGCCTCAGCAGAGCATTGAGCCTTAAAGCCCACACATTTAAAAGCATATAAACAAACAAAAAAAATCACTCTGTTACTTCTGTGTAACCGCACACACACACACAAACACACAAACACACACACACACGCACAGCACTCACTCTTCAGCTTGGATGGAGTCCACCGGAGCCACATAATTGCTGGGAATGTAGCCGCTGCCCCCGGTGGTGAGTGAGCGAGCGTCCCACCAGTCGCCTTCGCTGAAAACCAGGAGAAGCGGCACGTTAATGCACCTGATTTTGCCTGAGTCGACAGGGTCAGCTCCTCTGGAAAAAACAAAAAGCCCTCCATTCTGCTCCTTTTGCCGGTCCAAGTGGTGAACGCCTTCAGCCTTCCTGCCGAGGACACGCTCAGTGTCTCTCTAGGAAGTTTGTAACAAAAGGGGAAGCAGAACAAGACAGGCCACAGGGTTTTCAGTAGCTTTTTTAAAGAGGGCCTATAACCTATATACTATATGAAACATATACATATATATAACATAATTCTCAGTGTAAACATGGACACACAATTAAAACATACGTACAGCTTTTAAGTGGCATTTTAATAACTTACCAAACCTATTACCACAAGAGCTAATGAAAGCCTTATAACCCTAAAACGGCTAAATCTATAAAAACAGGGCTGGAATAGTGCATTGTGCAGTCTTTAAACATCATAAGCATCACAAACATGTCCCCAGTTTTCACTGTGTCCTTCAGTCATTCTGAATAAAGCCCTGATTGGGACTGCTCTAGAACAGTCAAAAACAGCCCAGTCGCCTTTTGTTCCCTGAGGATGCCTCAGACTGATGCTCTCCACTTTCTGTCTTCTAAAAAAACAATCTCAGAATGAGAGAATGGGCTGCTGCGTGTTGTGTGGAGCCTCCTATTGTCTGCAGATGCAAACCCTCCTCACAAAGACAAAAAGAAAACAACAACCAGTAAACAAGGAGCCTCCCTCCTGCTCCCAAAGGGATTCCCATCCCCTGTCCCTCTGCTGACTGATGAGGAGAACAGAATTAAGCACAGGCCTACCTTAAATGCCACACTGCTCATCTGCAGCCTGCAGTGGGATCGGTTTATTTCCAGCTGACTTTACAAGCATCAAAACACGACGTGATTCTTTAAATGTCTGACAGAGCCCGCCAGCAACACGATTCTCCTGAGTTACAACCAGCCTGAGCTGAAAAAGTCAAAGAACTGCTCAGGAATGTGTTTCTGTTTCCTGGAAAATGCCATCAGGTGCGCAAAAAAATCAGATAAAACACTGCACACGAGCCCCCACTTCAGCATCCGTCCCTGAACGGGGTGGTGGTGGGGGGGGGATGCACCTCTGTCTGGATCCCCGTGAGGAAGAGGAGGGTGTGGGCTTCCCGGGACAGGGCCTTCCTGCGGGGCTGGAAGCCTGAGGAGGAATGTGAGCTCAGGCAGGAAGCTGGGCGGGCGTGGGGCTCTACCTGGGTCAGGGGCTGGGGCCACAAGGAGAGCTCAGAGGGGAAGATTCATACACAGAATCTGCTTGTATTTAGCAGAGAGCACCGTTTGGGCCCATTTAGGGGAAAGCCAAACCATAACTCCCATCGATTCGACAACAACCGGCAAGTTTTTAGTTTTCATTTAACTTGATACTTTTTGTCTTTGCGGATAAATGAGCTCTTAATCCATCTTTACTATTGTCTGAAAACCTTCCATTAAAAAGTTTGTAGGGACTTACAGAAGGCAGCGCGTGCACAGAACATCTTTCTGAGTACAGAAAGACTCACAGCACTGTGACGGTGTGTGTGTGTGTGTGTGTGTGTGTGTGTGTTGGGTGGTCGAACAACAATCAGTGAAATCCGGTTATACAACGGGTCTGTGAAAACAGGATCCTGCAGGCTGGTTAGGGCAGAAGCCAGCGCACCGGCTGGATGTGAACACGTGCAGCCTCTCCTCCTTCTCAAATGTCACCAGGTCACTGCAGGAAGCCCGACCACGTGTGTCCCGGAGAGTGAGAACCGTCAGAGGGCCCAGCTTTTTAAAAAGCCCAGCCCGGAGCTCAGAAAATAATCTGCTGTGGCACAGACTGGAAGAAGGACAAGCCAACATCACCGTGGGTGGAACTGGGCACTTCCTGTTCCAGTTCAGAGGAAGATCTGAAGGAACAACACACCAGCGCTGCGGACTGGAGGCTCTGCTCCACCCTCTGTAAACCCTAAATAAACTCTGTTTACTCCCCATTGTCATAAAGCACCTTCAAACCACCACTTTAGTCTCATTACAACATCCCCTCCGAGAGTCCTATACTTAGGAATTCCAGCCTTATTTAAACTAAATGCTGCAGGAATTCGGGGAGACTTGGCATACTGGTCTGCAGACAGACAGAAAAATGGAGAAAAAAGAATCCAGTCAGCTCTGGTGTTTGGCAGCCAGGCGGCTTCTGAGGACAGAATGTGACATTTATGGTTTTTATGGCAGCTCCACAAACTGAAGTGGTGGGGTGGCCTTATTTTGGGCTCCGACTTTTTTTTAATTTAACTCCAAAGCCTCTGTGCGACCACGTGCACCTTTCTGGATTGTGAAGCACGCCCCGCTCCATCTTCGCGAGCGACTTACGTGCTGTTGATGATCTGGAAGCGTTCTCCTTTCCGGAAGCTCAGGTCGTCCTCGGTCCGGGCCTCGTAGTCGTAAAGGGCCACAAAGAGAGTGACTCCTGCAGCAGGGAAACACAAAAGCGTCAGCAAATTTGCAGATTTAGCCGGAGAAAAAGCTCTAAACTGGAGCTTAAAACCTGCACTGGAAGTCAAGAAACAGCTCGGGGAGCACACAAACACACACACACAAACACACACAATGGTGTTTTATGCTCGCAGTGGTGCAGGCCCTGTGATGGACTGCTAACCCGGTCGTGTCTCATCCAGTTCGCGCCCCGTTTCTATTGGATTTTCTTTTTCTTTAGCAATATACACTGTATTTAATCTGTAATCTTTGTATTTAGGGGGGCCACAGCCTTCGGCAAGGCCCACGGCAGTGGGCCTTGCCGAAGGCAAGGCCCACCTATTACTCTTCGTCATATTTATTCCGCGGCTTATAATTAGGGGGGCCACGCCTGCGGCATGGCCCACGTATTACTCTTCGAAATACTTATTCTGTGGCTTATTAGGGGGGCCACGCCTGCGGCATGGCCCACCTCGGTGGCCCTTAAGGGCCCACCGAGGTGGGCCTTGCCGCAGGCAAGGCCCACGTATTACTCTTCCTCATATTTATTCTGTGGCTTATTATTATCGTTCTCCTTACTCCGTCACGATTTTCGGCGCGTTACTCGTCCCGCACGGTTCCGCGGATCGGGCCCAAAGTCGGCACGCGCGTTCGGACCCACCTAGCCATGCGTGCTTGTTAAAAACTTTCTCAAAGGAGCGCGCGTTTCCGAGTAAACGGCGAAAAAGTGGCGAGCGTTTTCCCATAGGAATGCATGGGGGACGCAGAAAAAAAGGCACAAAAAAAGCCGAAAGATGAGGCCCGTCAGGGCCTCATCGCTCGGGCCCAGAGCGTCCGAGAGACGTCGTTTGAACATTGAACGGGACACGAAAGACGGGCCTCCGCCATATCGGAGCCACGAGGCCAGATCTCGCACCGTTTGCCCGCAATCGCTGTTGACGTTTTAGTGAAAATCATAAAATCATAGAATTTTCCCCTCACTCTAACTATGCTCGTTAAAGCCTCTGAGAAGCATTCACCTAAAAAAAGTCAAACTATAGTCCCTCGCGACCGAACCGTGGGGCCGAGCAGAACCAAAATGGCCTCAAAACGTAGCTGCGGGTGTCCTCTTTCAGCCGATGTGCCCGGTGTGGACCTCGGCCTTACGGTTCTCCGGCAATCGGGCCCAGAGTCCAGACATTCCCGACCCTCTGTAATAGGATTTGAATGGAAGAAAGGAGAGATTTTTTTTCACCAGAGACAAAACGACCCTCATTTTGAAATTGCCATAAAAAAATAACCGCTGGGAGCAGCCGAAAATAAAATACATTGGATTCGACCTTAAACTCTGTAGGCGCTCACGGTCCAAGAATTTTAAAGTTTTGTGATATAGTTTTCGAACAGCGTACAGCCCTTCGGAGGATACTTTTGATCCATCTGTCAGTTAGGTCTGTGTCAGTGATGAGTCACAGGTGTGGCAGTTTAGAATGTTCAGAATTGGCACCAGGCTGCTGTCGCCGTGGCGACCACCAGAGACTCACAGCAGCCCTGTGGCTCTCTGCAGGGCTCTGTGAGCTGTGCCTCTGCTTACAGGCGGGCGAAGCCCGCTTAGAAAGATTTAACTAAGACAGTGATAATGGCAAAAAGCGGGCGAAGCCCGCTCTCAGTGATTTTTTAAGAAATACAGTATTTCTGTAACCATGGCGGGCGAAGCCCGCTTAGAGGGCTTTAGTCAGAGCCCGGTTCTGGTTCTGAGGATTGGACCAAACCGGGTCGGAACCGGACCGGGGCCATGTCATACTCCTGGTTCAAGGCGGGCGAAGCCCGCTCTCAATGATTTTTAAAGAAATACGTTATTTGTGATTCAAAGCGGGCGAAGCCCGCTTAGAGAGCTTAAGTCAAAGCCAGGTTCTGGTTCTGGTTCTAGGGTTAGGACCCAACCGGGTCGGAACCGGACCGGGGCCATGTCATACCTCGTTGCGTAGGTCTTTTCCTCAGCTTTCAGCCAATGTGACCCCCACCCTCCTCAAACCAATTACCTTCGGTCAGCGGGCCCCAGAGCTCAGCCGGGTCCCTCCATCACTGCGTCTCTCCCTCAGGCCCTCTCATAGGCGCGAGCCCACATTACAGAGGGCCCAAACATCGATTGGCCGACCCGCCCCGGGTTCCCAGACGGGCAACGGGTGGCCCCCCTCCAAAATTTCTTCAGAAATTTTCTAGTTAGGGGGGCCACGCCTGCGGCATGGCCCACCTCGGTGGCCCTTAAGGGCCCACCGAGGTGGGCCTTGCCGCAGGCAAGGCCCATGTATTACTCTTCGAAATACTTATTCCGCTCCTTATTATTATCGTTCTCCCGTTTCCGCGGACCGCTTCTCGTCCCGCACGGTGCGACGGATCGGGCCCAAAGTCGGCACGCGCGTTCGGACCCACCTAGCCATGCGTGCTTGTTAAAAACTTTCTCAAAGGAGCGGGCGTTCCCGAGTACACGGCGAAAAAGTGGCGAGCGTTTTCCCATAGGAATGCATGGGGGACGCAGAAAAAAGGGCACAAAAAAAAGCCGAAAGATGAGGCCCGTCAGGGCCTCATCGCTCTGGCTCACGACGTCCGAGAGACGTCGTTCGAACATTGAACGGGACACAAAAGACGGGCCTCCGCCATATCGGAGCCACGAGGCCAGATCTCGCACCGTTTGCCCGCAATCGCTGTTGACGTTTTAGTGAAAATCACAAAATCTTAGAATTTTCCCCTCACTCTAACTATGCTCGTTAAAGCCTCTCAGAGGGCTGTCGGGACGCTCACCGAAAAAAAGTCAAACTATTGCCCCTCGCGACCAAACCGTGGGGCCGAGCGGCGCCAAAATGGCCTCAAAACGTAGCCGCGGGCCTCCTCTTTCGCCCGATGTGCCCGCTTTGGACCTCGGCCTTACGGTTTTCCGGCAATCGGGCCCAGAGTCCAGACTTTCACAAACCTCTCTAATAGGATTTGAATGGAAAAAAGGAGAGATTTTTTTCACCAGAGAGAAAACGGCCCTCATTTTGAAATTGCCATAAAAAAATAACCGCTGGGAGCAGCCGAAAATAAAATACATTGGATTCGACCTTAAACTCTGTAGGCGCTCACGGTCCAAGAATTTTTCAGTTTTGTGATATAGTTTTCGAACAGCGTACAGCCGTTCGGAGGATACTTTTGATCCATCTGTCAGTTGGGTCTGTGTCAGAGTGATGAGTCACAGGTGTGGCAGTTTAGAATGTTCAGAATTGGCACCAGGCTGCTGTCGCCGTGGCGACCACCAGAGAGCCACAGCAGCCCTGTGGCTCTCTGCAGGGCTCTGTGAGCTGTGCTAGTGGCAAAAAGCGGGCGAAGCCCGCTTAGAAAGATTTAACTAAGACAGTGATACTGGCAAAAAGCGGGCGAAGCCCGCTCTAAGTGATTTTTTAAGAAATGCAGTATTTTTTGTTACCATGGCGGGCGAAGCCCGCTTAGAGGGCTTTAGTCAGAGCCCGGTTCTGG